TATCTATCTATCTATATATATATATATATATATATATAGCCCCCCTATATGTTACAAGTATATATATATATTTATATATGGATTCTCTATTGCCATTTAATTCTTGTTAATGATTGATTAAATGCATGAAACGCTAAGTACAAGTTACATAGATGAATGTCTGATTTGATAATAATTAGTTCATTGCTATTTTAATATTTATTCTATATTTTAAAATCCAATTAGGTTAGATTAGGGAAAACATTAGTGTAGGTAAAACTAGCAAGTGTATGCCGGGCAGTGACACGAATGTCTAGGTCACGGCGAGGGCAATGTCTTGGATTATGTTCTGTTCATATCATTGGTGTAAGTAGATATGATCCATTCAAAAATGGATAAGCATCTCATGTTAAATAATTTTTGTTCTTATCACATTGCAGATTTTTCATGCATTTCGTTCAATTTTCTTGAAAAAATTTCAGCCAAACCTCATTTCAAAAAATGGTTTGCAAAAATGAATATAAAAATTATCGAAAAAACCTTTTAAATTACTTCTCATTTAATTTAATGAGTAGGTGGCTTTGATTGACTTTATCTAAGAGTAAACAAAATTATGAGTTTTGTTAGAAGAAAAACATGTCATTAACACTTCGGAAATAAAACAAATCTACGAATGAAATAAATTATTTCACATTTATATAACTTATGATAGGATAAATGATTTTCGGAAAAATTTGCTCTTATTTATCACAGCAGAACATTCGTGTTAATTAATGTTAAATGCGGAAATAACACGAGTAAAAATATTATATTTTTGTTAAATGACAGCTAGAGAGAATCAACCGGAAATATTTTCGAATTAAATAGGTGATTTAGAAAACATAAATATTGTGATATTTTGGTTTGTAATAGTATAATGATATGTAATAGTATAATAGTAACATAATAACTGCATTAAATAAATTGCTTCTAACAACTTGTGCCTTACTTACGCAACATCGAAAAAATATAATAACATAAATATTTTAATACTTCGGTCTGTTTGAAATATAATTATAAACTTAATATTTCAAACAACAATAATTATGTTAAGTTTGTTTTTACACGTGATTCAGTTACCCAATTTTGATTAAAATAATATTAATAGTATGATATTTTGGACTGTTAATAATAATTATAAAACGATGACATTAAATAATTTCGTTGTAATATTTTGTGCTTTAGTTACTCACTCCGAATGAAATATTTTCCCTCAGAAAAAAATATCACATTTATTAGTTAGATAGAAATTATATTTTAAAAATTTCTTATTTTAGTTTAAGAACAAATGTTAGTTAAATAATATCGTCTAAACATCTTGATAATACAAAATTCACTTTCTGCGTTCGTCACACCGAATTTAAATTAAACTGAGGAAAGAAACATTTTCTTATGAGTTTAGAATATTTTCAGTTTTTTTTTCAAACTGTCATCGCAACTCAGCTCTTTTAAATGCAAAAATAAATAAATAAAAATAAAAATTAAAAAATTAAAATTAAATCGAAGAAGTAACAATATTCAGATCCTCTTATTGACACTGAGTGATGATAAATATTTAAAATTTAAGAAAAAATAAAGAATTTTTAAGCTAATTCTAATGAATTTAAGTAGGAGTGGTTTTAATACAATAATAAATATAAAAATATAACTTTTAATCAACATTTAAAAAAATAATTTCGGACACATGCTAGAGAAAAACGTGTTATATAAGCCAAAATCATAGGATATTTATAAATTACAATTCCGCTAAATTAAACCTCTTTATAATGACTAAAATTATTTAAAAATTTGTTTACTCTACAAAAAATCTAAATGCTTGATGAAAATTGTATTTTATCTCTTTAATAAAATTAAAAAAAGTGGTTTGAAACGAGAATTAAAGTTTAAATTTAATTTTATCGTATCATTCTATCAAAACCAAATCAACTCACAATACTGTTTATTTTTTAAAAGAAATTAAATTTACATAAATATTAAAACATTTAAAAAAAAAATCCTGTTTATTCTCTGCAGATAGAGCTCTTGCCTCCCAATGAGTTGAACCAGGTCCGAATCCCAGCAATGATTTGTCGATATGAATATCAGCATTTAACTCACACCGACCACTGTGCTGATTTCAAATATCACCAGTAGAAGACGGATCATAGCTTAGAGTCACCTTGGTGCTGGGTTAACGTGAGAGGTTTTCGTGATTTCCCACTCCATGTAACGCAAGTGCAGTTTAGTCCTACCAATAAATCCCCTAAGAAGGCTAGATTCTCCCAATGCTTGAAACAGGTGCTCCTTTTGGGTTGGATTCAAAATTACAAGGTTGCGGAGTAGAACATTGATAGCTGTAAACTCAAAATTGAATCTGTTGCTCAAAGCCCGTTGTATAAAAATATTATATACAATAGTTTTTAAATTATTTTTTATCGTATCATTCTGTCATAACAAGTTCAATTCACAACACTGAGTTTTTTAAATTGAATTTATAAAAATATTAAATTTTTTTTTTTAAAAAAATCATGTTTTTTTTTTTGCTAGAAGAAAAAAAAACTCAACACATTAATACAAATTTATTTAGCTTGAAGAAAAATGCTTTTTGTCTCTCTGATAATATTTATAAAAATGAGTTGAGCTGATTTTGAAAACAAAACACTCTTAAACAAAGAAACGTAACGCAATCTTGAAGCACAAACATCGTAAATAAGGCAAATAAAAGTACAAAAATGAATGTACTATAATTGTTGTTCTTTAAACATGTATTCTCTGTGTCTAAGCATATATTCATAGAACCAAAATTATAATATGTCCATTTTTTTACCCTTACTTGTGCTTAAATTAAGTTGTTTTTTCTGCTTTGTCAGCACGAAGTATGCCTTTAACTCATTTTATGATACAGTTATTATTAGATAAGTTTATAAATTTATTTTTATTATAAACGTCTTCAAATTGTTTAAATTATCTCAAGATTAATTTCAAATTTATCATTTGTTCTAAAAAGCATCACAGTCGTTTAGCTTCCAATAATATGCTATTAACTATACTAAAGAATTTAAAAGAGCTTACAAAACTAAACAAATATTTAACAATCGTTTGAAAAACAAATGTATTGATCTGGTTTCAAAATCAAACTTAAAAATTGTTAGAGAAGTATTTTTTATTATTAATCGCTTCAGAATATAATAGTGAAGTTCCCAGATTAGATAAAAGTATCTTCATGAAAATCTTTGCGAAAAGAAAAATTTGAAGAATAATTCGATATATTTAAATATTTGCATCATCATCATTATTGTTCTTTAATATAAGATGCATTTAAGAACAGTTTGCTTCAAAAAAATAGCAGGATATTAAATTTTTAGAGTTGTATTTCTTACCTCCTATCGTTAAGTCCTTTTTTCGGGATGAAACTATCTTCTTAAAAAGCAAAAATTTAAGAATAATTTTATACTTGATACTTAGCATAATTTTACATTATCGTCATTATTATTTTTAATATAAGGTGCGTTTAAAAAATATTGGGAGGATTTAATATAGTAAATTTCTAATAGTTTCAAGTGTTACTTCCAATCTTTAAGTCCTTTTTTCGGGAAAAAAGTATTTTCATGAAAAGCTTTAAGAAAAGCAAAAATTTCTGAAGAATTCTATACTTAGATTTTTAGCACCATTAGACATTATTATCACTATTGTTTTTAAATTCAGCTTGCGTTTATAAACATTTTACCTTCAAAAAATAGTGAGACGATTAAAAATATTAAAATTTTAATAATTGTAAATCTTATCTTCAAGTCCTTTTGTTGGGATAAAATTAACTTTATCCAAAACTTTCATAATGATTCTATTCTTAAACACTAGACAACATTCTGATCATCAACATTATTATAATTATTTTTGATGAGATAGGATGTGTTTAAAAACATTTTGCCTCAAAAAAATAGCGTGAATATTCAATTTTAATAATTGCAAATCTAATCTACAATTTTTCAGACCACTTTTGTGGAAAAATTATTTTTATGAGGAGCTTTATTAGGGTGAGAAAATTTCAGGATAATGCTTAAACACTTGATGACAATATCATTTACATTTTTCGAATAGACGATGCCATTAAATAAATTTTGCCTGTCAAAACTATGTGATTTTTTTTTAATAATCGTTAGTCTTTCCTCTAATTGTTAAGCCCACCTGCATTGCAAAATTATCTTCATAGAAAGCTTTATGAAGTTCAAAAAACCCGTGATAATGCTATGCTTAAATATTCGACAACAACATCACCATTATTATTATATTATAAAGATGGGATGCATTTAAAAAAATTTTGCAATATAAAATAGCGTGAATGCTTAATGCTTATTCAATTTTTATTATTTACAAATTTAATCAACAATTTTTCAACCCACTTCTGAGGTAAAATTATTTTTATAAAAAGCTTTATAAAGGGAGAAAATTTCAGGATAATGCTTAAATATTAGATGACAATTCCATTAAATTTTTCCTTAGCAGACGATGTTATTAAGGAAATTTTGCCTGTAAAAATTATGTGAAAACTTATAATATGCATTTTTTTAATAATCATATGTCTTACCTCCAATTGTTAAGTCCACTTTCACGGTAAAATTATCTTCATGAAAAGCTTTATGAAGTGCAAAAATCTCAACTGGAGGTGCTGGTTCTACCGTTGAAAATAATGAATCATCACCAGTTCGTACATCAGGATGTCCATTTTCATATGGATATATCATCTGCGATGAGGCATCCATATTTTATTTTGAAACGGAAGATATGAAACTTTATTAAGTCCGCTTTTCAGAAACGATAAAGCGATAGTATATCTGAAATCTCAATTTATGCTGGCGCGCTTGACTTACTCTCCCTTTCTGTTCGCTTACGAGTTATATGACGTCAGGCAATGAAATTTCTCCGATTGGTTAAGATTTCTCGACCTTCTGTTTCATAAACTTTCTGTTTTGATCACTTTTTTGTTCACTTTTATGAGGTTGTTAAATTGTATTAAAATTCGAAAATATCGTATTGAAGTGGATATAAAGGTTAAGAAAATTTTTTTTTTCCCCAATAAGGTAGACCGGGATTTGTTGTAATAAATTATAAGCAATGCTTATACCGAATCTACAAAGAATATCTGAAGAAACATGTATAGGAATTAATCTATAGGAATATCTGTCTGAAATGAACATCTATAAACATAATTGTGACATAGATCCATAAAAATGGATACATAGATGTATCCATTTTTATTGTGACACATATGTCACAATCGTCTAGATTCCCAGATCATCTATTTCATAAACTATTTATTTATTTGTTTCATTTTTATTATAATTCGCTTGAAATTGGAAAGGTTTGTGTTAAAGAGGTTATTAAAGTTAAAAAAAGAAATTTTTTTTTAAGTAGGGCTCACCAGGACAAGTTGTCACAATTTTTAAATTTTTTTTTTAAAATCAATATCGGTACTATTGCATGTAAAATCTACTATACTACTGTAATAATTATAAGTATTTATTCAAATTCGCATTTTTAATATTCCTGATTGTTAAATAATGCTTTGCATAAATTAAAATTATTTACGCGATTGCACTTTTTTAGCATTGCTGTTAATTAAAAAAGCATTAAACGAATCAAAACAATTTACTCAAATACACATTTTAATTATAATTGGTTGTTAAATAATATATTTCACCAATAAAATTTATTTACTCAAAAACATAGTTTTAGTATTGATATTGAGTAAAACAGGTATTGCACTAATCAAAACTATTTACTGAAATATATGGTTTTAGTATTCTCTTAGTTAAAAATATATTAAGCGAATCAAAACTATTTATTCAAGTACACATTTCAAATATTACTAATATGAATAAATGGATGAATCAATGGATCCGCCCTTTAAACGGGCATGACGTATGGGGTGACAGAAGTCAAATTCTTGGCCATAGATGGCGCCACTGGAAAACAAGAACTATCTCACCCCTCTGCCGTAACAGGCATACTTCAACAACAAATATTACTAATTGTTAAATAATGTATTGCACTTATCAAAACTATTTACTCAAATAGCCATTTTAAATATTACTGATTGTTAAATAATGTGTTGTATTAATCAAAACTATCTACTCAAATAAAAATTTTTAGCACTGCTTTTAACTAAAAGAAGTAAGTAGTACACTAATCGAAACTACTTACTTAAATATTGCTGATTTGAAATTGTAATTGTAATTTGAAATTAGTATTGCCGATTTGAAATTGTTTGCAAAAAACAGACTCCTTACTCTTCGAGGGACTTACAGCCATGTTTCCTTAAAAGTTAAAACCATGTTTCCTTCAAGTTTCCTTAAAAGTTTTAATCAGTATCGGCGAAGCGGAAAGCGTAGAGTGTACAGAAATGTACACATGGTATTTATAGAATTTTTAATGCAGTACACATTTTGTAAAATGAGACAGTAACGCAGTTTAGAGTGCATAAAGTGATAGTTAGGATTATTCTTATAAAAAAATTCTATTTTATTTTTTAAAAAAAATTTATTTTATGGTAAAATAGACTATTATTTAAAGCTTTTATAAAATTTGATCATAATATTATGTAAACACATTTCGCCATTAGAATCGAAATTAAAGTTTAAATCATATAAAAATACCGATTCTAGGAATTAAAAACAAATTTTAAAATAGAGATTAAATATTAAAGATTACAAAAATTTTGAAACTTGTAAGCTTCCTAAAAAAATTCACAATACTTATTTAAAATGTACACATAATATTGTAAACAGTATTAAAATAGTTTTACAACAGATATTTTTATTTTAGTTTAAATTTTAATTTTAATGCTATTATTAAAAATTTTCACATAATCTTGCGCACCTTGAATATTTAGCAAAATATTTAAAAAATTATCTATTTTGATATCAAAATTAAATATGATTGTTTTAAAAATAGAATTAAATATTTTTGCAAAAATGTGAAACCTAACTATTCATTTATATAATAATTCATTTATATAACAATCCATTTATATTTGAATCACTGTATCCTGTATCTCTATTTTTTAAGTATCCTGTAGTCCTAAAATAACTACTATTTGTTACGCTTCCTGCTTTGCCAATACGAGAAAGAACCCTTTACATCAAGGTGAACAGACAGTCTCAAATCTTGAGGACAGTCCTCGAATTTCAATAGTTGTCGTCAAAAACTTCTTGAGTAAAAAATTCTTTGAATATGGAAAATGGGCTCAAATCTTAACATACGTCCTCAAATGTTGCTGAATTTGTTCGAGAACTTTAAGAAAAAAAANAAAAAAAAAAAAAGGAAAAGAAAAGAAAAAAACGAAATGAGCAGGAACGAGAACGAACGAGATTGTTTTGCCTTACGAAGATACAAGCGAAAAAATATCTTAGTAAAACTAACTTATGAAAACTCCTAAAAATAATTTCAACTGAACTGAAAATAATTTCAGCGAAAAGTAAACAAATAATCATGTACTTCTTCATTTTGCAAGAGTTAAACAATTGCAGAATATCATTTGAATATTAGATTTCCTTAGGGATGAAATCACGTTAGATGTAAAAGGTTTCCATTTTTTATTAAATTTTTAATATTTTTTTTAAAAAGAGAAACACTTAGTTGCATACAGAAATAAATATTTTCCATAAATAAATGGATGTCCTCGAATCTTAAAATTTTTTCAAGGATGCTCCGTTGATTTGTCCTCAAATCGTGGTTAATAAATCTGATCACCTTACTTTAAACTGTCTCATTTCCCAATGTCAAAGTATAGGAAAAAAAACTCACTCATTTTTTTTATTTTCTTTTTGGTAAAAAATATATTAAAATTGTTTCTTGAATTTTAAACAACTGACAGTCAAACTCTGTAGAATAATTTGATACTCATAAAATGTCTCAACATTTTTATCTGTAAGACAAAAGTTTAAATTTAAAAATTAGAGAATTTTTAAGAAAATCTGCTGTTTATTAACCTATTACTGCTTAAGGTCCTACTTTTCATTAATGTTTTGTTAGAGTAATTATAAAACTATTATAAAATACTGTCATTAATTAACTCATTAATACTTAAGTTGCAACTTTCAAAGAATACTTTCTAATAGTAATTAGAAAATGATCATGAAAATCCGTCATTTATTTACATGCCATTAATGCCAAGTAGCAACTTTTCGTTGATAATTTAAGTAATAATTGGAAAATGATTATGAAAATGTGTTATTTATTAACTCATTAATGCCCAAGTCACAATTTTTCAGTAATATTTTGCAATTGAAAATGTTATAGATTAAAATAAATGCAATAGCTCAATAGAATAGAATAGTAATTATAAAATGATTATTAACCCATTAATGCCTGAGTGCTCGAGTCGCATCTTTTCGATAATGTTTTGTAACAATAATTAGAAAATGATTACGAAATTCTCTTTTTTATTAACCTATTAATACTACAGTCATGAATTTTCATTGATATTTTGTATAGTGCTAACAAGTATACTTTCTTTGGAATCAGCTGGCAAGAAGAAAATTTTCCCAAAAAATTAGTAAAGGAAGCGGTTAAGAAACTTGAAAAGTGATAGTCCTCGTGAAATGTACAAAATTTTTTTTAAAGGAGATTTAATAGCAATTATGTTTCATGAACCAATGAAGTAAAGATATAACTACCCATAATGAGCTATGTAGAAAACAAATTTTGATTTTTGAAATTTTGATCCAGAATTCAGTTCGAAATAATACTTTGTTTTTCCCACACATAAAACTGAGTTCTATTTATGTTATTTAAGGTAGAAAGACTTCTCGTTATGTAATGATAAGTGTACTTAAAAATGACATTGAGAGAAAACAGCCTTAAAAAGGGATAGTTTATGTGGAGTGTGCACACACTTTTTCCTAATCTATTGGCTTAAGGAGTTTTAATAGTAATTATATTTCTACCAATGAAAGTGAAATTTTAATTACCCACAATGATTTTTGTAGAAAACAAACTACTTTTGACCCTGAATTCAGTTCGGGGCAGGAACTGGTTGTTTTTCCACTCAGAAAACTTTGTTCTCTCTGTGTTAACTCTCCTCATCTAAAAATTATACAAATTTTTCGAAGTGTTAAACGAAAAGAAGTTTTAAAGTTAGCTACGGCTAAATGTTGTGTTTATCTATTTCGATTGTAAAAAATAATTTGCGTTTTTTATAATAGAAATAAATTTATTTGGTCAACTCCTTACATTATCATCGTGTTGAACCCCTCATGCTAGTATCTCGTTGAACCCCTCGTATTATCATCTTTGCTGAGTCTTTCATATTACCCTCTTGCTGACCCTCATATAGTTATCCTACTGATCCCCTCACATTATCATCTTGTTAAACCCATCTTGTTGAACCCCTCATATTATCATCTTTGTTGAGCCTTTCATATTACCCTCTTACTGACCCTCATATAGTTATCCTACTGATCCCCTCATATTATCACCTTGTTAAACCCATCTTGTTGAACCCCTCATATTATCATCTTTGCTGAGTCCTTCATATTACCCTCTTGCTGACCCTCATACAGTTATCTTACTGATCTCCTCATACTATCATCTTGTTGAACGCCTAATATTATCATCTTGCTGAGCCATTCATATTACCCTCTTGCTGACCCTCATAATCTTACCAATCCCCTTATATTATCATCTTATTGAACTCCTCTTATTGCATACGGTTAAGACTCTCACTTTACCATCTTGCTTAACTCTTCACACTATCATTTTGCTACGTTTCGTGTGAAGATTGAATGAAAATTGTAATGCACCGTGCAAAGCCAAGTGCGGCTGTGCTGCGTAAACTCAATATAAAACCTATGCAAACTATGTACTTTAATCGGTATTAAGATTTTTGTTTGATGCAAAATTAAAAAGATATATATGGAACAAAAAGACGTTAAAAAGGAAATATCAGTAGAACCCTTCGGAATCATGGAATCTG